CCCCAAAACCCCAAAACCCCAAAACCCCACGATTAGAGATAATGATTCTCTGAGTGAAAGTGAAAACATATTCTGATAGGCAATTAGAACGACTATTTTAAATTTTAAAATTTTTAATTGGTTGCGCATAGTATATAAGGAAAAATGGCTTATAATTTTTATTCTAATTGAAACTCTAAAAGTCTTTCAACTTTCTAATTTAGCTATATCTCTTGAGATGAAAAAATTCAACATTGAAGAAGTACAAGAAATCATGAGAAATCAAGATAGCATTAGAAACATGTCAGTGATTGCCCATGTTGATCATGGAAAAACAACACTCACTGACTCTCTCATCGCCTACAATGGCATCATTTCGATGGACAAAGTAGGCAGTGCGTGCACCATGGATACTAGTGAGGAGGAGAAAAGCCGAGGAATCACTATTAAATCCACTGGTGTATCACTTTATTACGAGTTGAAAGATACCCCAAGCAAGGATGCTAAGACATCCGATGAAGATACAACAACAGCATCAACCGATGAAACAATCAAAAAGTTCCTTATTAATTTAATCGACTGTCCAGGGCATGTGGACTTTTCGTCAGAAGTAACAGCAGCTTTAAGAGTAACTGACGGAGCTCTTGTAGTCGTTGACTACATTGAAGGAGTGTGTGTTCAAACTGAGACAGTGCTTAGATAAGCTCTTTAAGAAAAAATCGTACCAGTACTGATGGTAAACAAGATAGACAGAGGCATACTTGAACTTCAAGTATCTGGTGAAGAAATGTACTAAAGATTTTTAAGAGTAATCGAAAGTGTGAATGTAGTCATAAGCACATATGAATCTGAAGAAAGTGGTTTGACACTCTAAGTAGACCCTACTGAAGGTAATGTAGCTTTTGGAGCTGCTCTCTTTGGGTGGGCCTTCACTCTAGACAAATTTGCCAAAATCTATTCAGAGAAATTCAAAATTGACAAAAAAATTCTGGCTAAAAAGTTATGGGGTGATAATTATTATGACCCGATGAACAAATAATGGATCACATAAGAGACAACAGCTGATGGAAGAAAACTCTAAAGAGGATTCGTCCAGTTCATCATGGATCCTATAATTAAGCTCATGCAGAGCATAATGGACAACAAGATTGAAGCAGTGACTAAAATGACAGCAGCCTTAGGAATCAAACTTAAGGAACAAGAACTGCAAAAGACCAAGAAAGATCTTGTGAGAGCTGTTTTCATGAAATGGCTTAATGCAGGAGAAGTTCTGATGGAAATGATCGTTCAGAAACTCCCATCACCTAAGGTAGCATAGAGATACAGAACTTCATTCTTATATGAAGGTCCTTTAGATGATCCATGTGCTTTGGCAATGCAAAACTGTGATCCAAACGGTCCATTAATGATATACATTTCCAAAATGGTGAAAAGTAGCGACAAAGGAAGATTCTACGCCTTTGGAAGAGTGTTCTCAGGAACAGCAAGATCTGGATAGAAAGTGAGAATAATGGGACCCAATTATGTTCCTGGAAAAAACCACGACCTATTTGTCAAATCCATCCAAAGAACTGTTCTAATGATGGCAGCTAAAGTTGAACCTATATCAGAAGTCCCATGTGGAAACACCATAGGTCTTGTTGGAATCGACTAATACTTGGTTAAGTCAGGTACAATCTCTGACTGTCCTGAAGCTCACAATATAAGAGCAATGAAGTACTCAGTATCTCCAGTAGTAAGAGTAGCTGTTAAACCCAAAAATGTGCAAGACTTACCTAAGCTTATTGAAGGTCTCAGAAGTTTGGCAAAGGCAGACTCACTTATACAATGCTACACAGTTGAGGAGACAGGAGAGCATATTCTCGCAGGCTGTGGAGAACTTCATTTAGAAGTCTGTATTAAAGAACTAGAAAGAGAACATGCTTAAATCCCAATTGAGAGAAGTGAACCAGTAGTTACATATTAGGAGACAGTAACCACAGCAAGTAGTCAAATATGCCTATCTAAGTCCTAGAATAAGCATAATAGGTTATATGCAACTGCTGAACCATTAGGAGAAGAATTCTGCAAAGCCATAGATCTCAAGACTATCTCAGCAAGAGATGAACCTAAGGAATTAGCTAAGAATTTAGTTGATAACTATGGATGGGAAAGTTTAGATGCAAAGAAAATATGGTGTTTTGGACCAGATGCATCTGGAACTAATGTTCTTGTTGATTAATCCAAAGCAAACCAGTTCATCAGTGAAATCAAAGACCACGTCTCATCAGCATTTTAATGGGCCTCAAGGGAAGGAGGAATGACACAAGAATAAATGAGAGGAATAAGAATCAATCTTATTGATGCAACTCTGATCTCAGACTCTATCCACAGAGGTGGAGGCCAAATCATCCCAGCAGCAAGAAGAGTCATCTATGCTTCATAGTTGACTGCAACTCCAAGATTGTTAGAACCAGTTTTCCTATGTGAAATCCAGGCACCTGATTCAGTTGTCGGCGCTATCTATCAAGTCATTGGACAAAGAAGAGGACTGATCATATCTGAAGAACCTGTTTTGGGAGCTCCTACTGTTATCATGAAGTCTTACTTGCCAGTGGCTGAATCTTTCGGCTTCACTGAACATTTAAGAAGTGCTACTCAGGGCAAAGCTTTCCCACAGTGCGTTTTTGACCACTGGCAGATTGTTAACTCTGACCCATTCGATCAGACTTCCAAGGCAGGTCAATTGGTTGACCAAATAAGAAAGAGAAAGGGACTTAAACCTGGTATTCCTGAACTGTCAAACTTTCTCGACAAGCTCTGAGCAAGCTATACTGCTCACTCACTTTATATAACGCAGGACATAATATGAGCCTTAATTTACTAAAAATTAGCATATATACAAATCATTTTTTTACTCTCTTATGTCTTCTCATGGGGTTTTGGGGTTTTGGGGTTTTGGGG